TCTTCGCCATCCATCCTGATGCTACCAATTGGTCCAGTGGTGAGAATCTTTGTCTTCTTGATATTGAGCCTCAGTCCATACTGAAGGCTGCAGTCCTTACCCTCTGCATACCCAGATTATGGGAGACTAGATCTCACCATTCTTGTTTGTAAGGAACTCAGTGATTGCAGCTTTTCCAACACAGACATGCCTGTTCTTCTGGCACGATGTATTCAGTACTCTTTACTACCACACAATGCAAAGGCATGCGCTTCTCTATGGTCTCAGCAGTCAGTATACAAACAAGTTTACCAAATATTTTTAAATGTTTAACTGATACTGTTGTGTGCTGCTGTACCAACCACAATTCATTGTGACCCTTTGAGCAACAGATGGAACGAGGTCGTGGCTGGTGCCATCCTCACACTCTCGAGCCTATTGTTACAGCCCGTCTTTTGTGTCAACCTATCTTGTGTAGGGTCTTACTCTCTTTTTCTACTTGTCCCCCTTTCCCAGCATGATATTGGAATATTTAAACGACATGAGAGAAGAACCTGACTGCAAGTCTAACTCAAGATAAGCCCCAATGCTACATCAATGAGTTCCTGTGGAATATGTATAACTTCTCATAGAATATACACTCACACTAAACTGTAGACCAGTTCTGTCCCTGATGTACTCATATACCAACCTTGTATGTTTTCTTCTATGTCCATTTTCATAGTTCATTACAAATAACAGTTTCCAAAATTTTTAATTAAGGAATAAGAGTGTGGCTAATTTGCTCTCTTATACCCTGAAGGGTTGACAATTCAAAGTCACCAGTATCTCCACTGGAGAAAGACTTGGCACTCTGCTCCCATAAAGATTTGCAGCACTGGAAACACTAAGGATTTTCAGAATTCCAAATCAACTCTAGGGCAGTGGACTGGGCTTGGTTTAACTCCAGAGTGGAACAAACAAGTTTTAGAAACCCATGTCCTACTCAAGAAACACTAGGTGTTTCTTCAAGTTTAAAGATAAAGGTTAAGGAGATAGAACACTGAACAGTATCAGCCATGACATTTCTAAGGGATTATCATGTTAGAAACAGAATTATAGCTGTTTAATCCCCACAGGGCAGAAATGGGATCAATGACACTCACTCTTGAGATAGCAGATTATAAGGGGATCTTTCTAAGAATTAAATATATTATCAAGTGGGATGACCTCCACTGGGGAATGTTCTCAAACTTCCTGCCATTGTGCTGATGCCACCCCATAGAGGGCTTATCTCTAATCTTTATCTTTAAACTTCAAGAGGATTGAGTGCCCATTTTCTCCTACATAGCTGCTGGTAGACCTCAACACTTAGGGACACACAGCTTTTGGCAAAATGCAACACAATACAGAAAATGCCATCAGAGCTACTTCTCAACTCTTTGCCCCACGTATATTCAAGTAGAGCATATATATTTGATCTGTTTGGTTGCCTCTGTTTTCCAAGAAAGCACAAAATCAAAGAGAATCCTTGCTCAGTCATCCTCCTATTTTCCCAATAGTGACCTCATGCAATATTTGTCCTTATGTGACTGAGATAATTCACTCAGTATAATGTTCTCTAGTCTTTCTTAAATGATACAGTTTGATGTGGACTTGAAAAGAGGGGTGATGATAGGCATGGAACAAAGGTAATTAATTACATGAATGACTCTATAAAATACAACGTACATGAATGATTAAATAAAATACAAAGTACACAGACAAAACACTATGTCTATGGATAATTATATGCAAATTGATTAAAAAAAGAGACAGAATCCTCCTCTAGTGTAACATTTTCATCACTGGACTTCAGGGTGTCTTCCAATTCTAAAGTGCCTTCAGGCACCATGACGGGATCATTATTCTTGTTAGATAAATTACTATCAGTAAGAAATTTCTTCCACTGGAGATTCACTACCTCTGA